GATTCTGTGTAGCTTCTCTAAAAAAACGACTTATTTGCTCAAACCAAGTGGATACCAATTGCAAACAGGGAAAAGAGATTGAGATAAAATGAATGTCACAACATATTGTTTCGAATATCTGTACTAATTAATACCAGTTCCTCATCACCTAGAATGAAATATGGTGAATACTTTTGATATTTATGACCTACTGGTAGTCTCGAAAACGTATTTATAAACAAAAAATAATTAATGTTGGTTAGACCGAGTTTTCGCAACTTGAGACCTTGTAGAACGTACCCAGTCCTGTGTCCTCTGCCATAGTATTCGTGACCTCCAGCCTCGGACCATTGACTTGGCAGATTCCCAAATATTTCGCCGTCAGTGAGAAGCGTTATCGTTAGCACAGAGTTTGATCAGTTGTAACTCTGTCCTAGCAATGGCGCCTCTTACTGACGATGTTGACTACGATGCCGGGGCAACATTTGAAAGTGTATCAAGTCAATGGTTTGCAGCTTGAAATCTCGAATACTATGGCAGAGGACATAGGATTAGGTACGCTTCACAACGTCTGCCATAGTAATCGACAGTTTCAGCATTGAACCATAGGCTTGGCACCTTGCCAAACTTGTCATTTTGTAAATTGCAGCTCTGTGCCTCTCACTGACGATGCCGGCGAAACGTTTGGGAATGCACCCAGCCAATGTTCCAATGCTGGAAATCATGAATACTCTGGCAGACGACACGGGACTAGGTACGTTCCACGAGGTCTTCCTGACGCCCCGACCAAGTTGCAAGAACAAGGTCGAACCAATATGATAAGATTAATTATTTTTCGAAGATATGAATACCAAAATGGTGTGACCTTCTGTGTTGTCGAAGTCATCTTTAGCTTTAATGTGTTGGTTCGACTTTGTTTTCCCAACTTGGTCGCAGCGTCAGAGATACCTTGTGGAATGTACCTAGTCCCGTATCGTCTGCCAGAGTATTCGAGAGTTCCAGCATTGGACCATTGGCTTGGTACATTCCCAAACTAGTCATTTTGTAAGTTGCAGCTCTGTGCCTCTCACTGACGATGCCGGCGAAACGTTTGGGAATGCACCCAGCCAATGTTCCAATGCTGGAAATCATGAATACTCTGGCAGACGACACGGGACTAGGTACATTCCACAAGGTATCTCTGACGCTCCAACCAAGTTGGGAAAACAAAGTCAAACCAACAGATTAAAGCTAAAGGTGACTTCGACAACACAGAAGGTCACACCACCTTGGTCTTCATATCTACGAAAAATAATTAATCTTATCATATTGGTTCGACCTCGTGGAACGTAGCTAGTCCCGTGTCGTCTGCCAGAGTATTCATGATTTCCAGCATTAAAACATTGGCTAGTACATTCCCAAACATTTCGCCGGCATCGTCAGGGAGAGGCACAGAGCTGCAAACTACAAATTGACTAGTTTGGGAATGTACCAAACCAATGTTCGAATGCTGGAACTCTCTAATACTATGGCAGACGACACGGGAGTAGGTACGTTCCACAAGGTCTCCCTGACGCGCTGACCAAGTTGCAAAAACAAGGTCGAATCAACACTATAAAGCTAAAGGACTGCAAACAAACATCTTGGTCTTCATATCTACTTTTCGTGTTCGAGTAGAGTTTCAAGATTACGAGTAAATCAGTAATATGAGATGTATTCACCCTATTTCTCTTAAGGTGATGATGGACTGGTAGTAGAATTTACCCACAATGATATGAGTAGAGCTGACGTTTTTTGTGAATTTCACATTGCCTTGCTTTCCCAAAAGTTGTTCTCATCTTTTGGGAAAGCAAGACAATGTGAAATTCAATGGAAACGTCAGCTCTATTCATATTCATATCTACGACATAATTAATCTTTGCTGAATTACTTTTTGGTAAAGATCACAATCTTAAGTCGAGAAAACGAAGGGGAGTAGGAGAAAGGGTAACTCAACAAATGGGACCACTCACAGTTGATGGCTCTTCGAGTGGTCACAGAATCGTTCCCTGCTGCTTCGGAGCAGAGATGAGCCTGGCACACGATCTGCTGATTCTCATCGGCAAAGTAGCATTGTTCTCCGGTCGCCAACTGGCGAGTGCAAACGGAGCATGCGAAACAGGCGAGATGGAATGGAAATAGTCCGTCTCTGGCGAAACGCACCAAATCTGTGGGTCGCAAAGCTGACTTGCAGGCTGTACACTTAGGCCCGTAACGCCTGTTGAAAGAAGTCGGCAATAGATGATTGAAGATGCCGCATTCAGCAGATAAAGCAGACGGATGCCATGAGGCGAGGGAGGAAAAAAGGAAAAAAGACAGAAATTAAAACAGAGAGAAGTAAGGAATGAGGGAGGAAGAGAGAGAGGACAAAAGTAGGAAGGAAGAAAACAAGGAAGCAAGAAAGGATGAGTTGAAGAAAGTATGGAGTGCTGGAAGAAAGGAAGGAATGATGAGTTTAGAGCCATGGGGTAAGGGTGAAGAAAAGGAACAAAGTACGTTGGCAAGTAGAAAATGAAAAAAGGGAGTAGTG